TTTATTCCGTAATAGCATGGCAGATTACAAGAGTTTCACTCTGTACAGAAACACTTTACCAACATATACCTTGTCAGGCCCCCTGTGAGGGGAGGAAGCAATCCTCTTGTGGTACTCACCCTCAGTCCTTCGCCGCCCGCGGTCTCCCCTTCCCCTGCCTGTCGGCAAGTCCAGTCCTCCTCCTCGCCTCCCAGCGGCAGCATGTATAACGCTGCACGCTGGGAGCCCGTGCACTTATGCGAATGCTGGGGTCAGTCACGTGACCCGGCATTAAAGACACAGTACCTTAATCACAGTGGGAGGTATAAATATCCCCCACGTGTGTTTGTTAATTCTGATTGGAAGTTATCCAATCAGAATTAAGCACAGGGTTTATATACTTACCTTTTCTGTCTCTCTGTGCCCTGTTGTGGTCTTGTGTTACCTGTAGTGCAGTTTGCTCATGTTTCTCTCTAGTTACCGATTATTTGGCTTGTTATTCCAATTTTTCTGATTTCCCCATTCCTTTGACCTCGGCTTGTTTCTCGCTCTCCTGTTTTCTGGCTCCCTTTACTTGGCTTGTCTCCTGACTATTCTTAGTGTGCTTAAACCGGCCACTCTAAGGACCGGTATAGCACCATTCCTCTCTGTGACCTGTTAGCGTGTTAGATTCCCGAATCGTGACATACCTGTTAATTGTAGATTATAAGTGCTCTATGTCAGGGGCCTCTAGTATATATTCATTGCTATTTTCTATTTAAGAAACACACATATGTCTACAGCATTTACTGTACATTTGTTGGTGCCAGCTGTAAAAAGTGATTTATATTTTGAAGTGATATTTACTACCATCTCAAAATGCATAGGGAGAGAAGCCCCATCTGCAAGTGTGCCAAGCTTGATACAGATATTATTCACAACAGTTTCACTGATTTTCCTCTCTAGTCGGTCCTCTCACACCTCACCCCTCTGCCAGTCCTTACATTGGCTCCCTGTATGCTATAGGAGTCAATTCAAAGTGCTAACCCACACATTTAAAGCACTGAACAATTCTAGCCCCACTTATATCTCTTCACTAATCCATAGATATGCCCCTCCTCGTACCCTCCGCTCTGCCCATGACCACCTCCTGACCGCTGCTCGCACCCGTATGGCCAACTCGCGCTTGCAGGACCTCTCACGGGTGGCTCCTCTCCTATGGAATAGCTTGCCTACTGCCATCAGACTCTCCCCTAGTCTTCAATCATTTAAGAAGGGCCTTAAAACCCATCTCTTCAGGAAAGCTTATGGCCTCCCAGAGTAATCTCTACCTTACATACCTGTCTCCTGCTCTCTCCTATGGGACAGTGCTTTGCTCTCTCCTCCAGCTCTGCTTCACTCCTACTTGATATTTCTTGTCCTAATGTTTCTAATACCCCACCTCAGTGGCGTACTAAGGGAGGGGCGGGGGGGCGGTCCGCCCCGGGTGCCACCAGGATGGGGGGTGCCATGACCAGCCCTGCCGCCCCCCCCCCATGCTGCAGCCGCCCGAGCGCTCTATAGAGAGCCTCAGGCGGCTGCAGCTTTGCCCGGGCGGTGCGTCCATGAGGGCGGATCGCACCGCCCAGGCGCAACCTGAGGAGAGGGGCTGACAGGAGGGAAGCGCTGAGCGCTCCCTCCTGTCACTCCCTCTGTAGTAGTGTGGCCGAGCACAGTATAGTCGGCGGGTACAGAGAGCAGCTGTCTCCTGTACCCGGCCGGACTAACAGGAAGTGCATACAGAGTGTTCACTTCCTGTTAGTCCGGCAGTACAGGCTGAATCTCCTGTACAGCGGACTTCTGTGCTTCGACTCTGAAAGCCAGGGGAGGGTGAGAAGGGAGGGTGGGGGTGAGAGGAGGGTGAGAAGGAGGGTGAGAGGAGGGGTGAGAAGGAGGGTCAGGAGGGTGAGAAGGAGTGAGGGAATGAGGGGGTGAAGAGGGAGAGAAATGAGGGGAGTGAGAAGAGGGAGAAATGAGGGGAGTGAAGAGGGAGAAATGAGGGCGGGTGAGAAGAGAGGGAGAAATGAAGTGGGGTGAAGAGAGGGGAGAAATGAGGGGGTAGAAAGAGGAGAAATGAGGGGGTGAGAAAGAGGAGAAATGAGGGGGTGAGAGAAAGAGGAGAAATGAGGGGTGAGAAAGGAAAGGAGGGAGAAATGGGGGTGAGAAAGAGGGAGGGAGAGAGAAGGAGGGGAAGAGAAAGGAGGAGAAGGGGTGAGAAAGAGAAAGTAGGGGGTGAGAGAGAAATTAGGAGGGGAGAGAAATTAGGAGGGGAGAGAAATTAGGAGGGGAGAGAAATTAGGAGGGGAGAGAAATTAGGAGGGGAGAGAAATTAGGAGGGGAGAGAAATTAGGAGGGGGAGGAGAGAAATTGAAATTAGGAGGGAAGAGAAATTAGGAAAGAAGTGGGGAGAGAGAAATTAGGAGGGGGTGAAAAGAGAGAAATTAGGAGGGAGAGAAATTGAAATTAGGAGGGAGAAGAGATATTAGGAGGGAAAGAAATTAGGGGGAGAGAAATTAGGAGGGTGAGAAGAGAAATTAGGAGGGGAGAGAAATTAAAATAAGGAGGGGAAAGAGATGGGGAGGGGGAAAGAGAGAAAGGGGAGAGAAATTAGGAGGGTGAGAAAGAGAAATTGGGAGGAGGAAAAGGAAATTGGAGCGGAGGAGAGATTGACATTCATCACACACAATGCACCCCTTGCACACAGAAAAAAACACAATGCATTACACACACAGACACATACACAAGCAATGCAACCGTTACACACAATGCATCCCTTACACACACAGAAACACACAATGCATTCATTACACACACTCAATGCACCCCTTACACACATTCAATGCATCCCATACATACACAGAAACACACCTTGCAGCCCTTACACATACAAACACAATGCATTCCTTACACACATATCAGGACATCCCTTACACACTCCACCCCCTGTGCACAAACTCATTGGTGGAACATGAAGATGGACCCTGGGACCCAGACCTTGAGCTGTGTAAAGGACCCCCAAAAAATGTTGCTGCCTCCCGTTCTCCCAGAACATTGATTTTTGTGACCACAGTTACAAACCGCCTCCAGAGAGCCTGTTCTGCACCAGACCAGTGGAGCCAGACTGCAGCTAGAGCTCATCATCATCCCCATCTGGTTGTAAGTAGGCAATCTAGTATATTATTCGTGGCACTAAGCTCTAATTTACCTCACATTAAAGAAACACTATAGTCCCCAGAACCACTTCAGCTTAATGTCCCTGCAGGCCTTTTAATGTCTATAGCCTGTCCCTGCAGGCCTTTTAATGTAAACACGGCGCACTGCAGCACTGGCGTTAGTTAACATGGCAAATCATATGGGTGGGGCATTGTGATGTCACATGGGGTTGTGGCGGCAAACTTTACTTTTGCCTAGGGCGGCTAAAATCCTTGCACCGGCCCTGGCTGGAGGGGGCTGTGTGAGCTGTGGCTGCACAGTGTCCCATGGTAGTTAGGGCCGTGCGGCCAGTACAGCTCACACAAGCAAACAGCTGATAAACTAGCCGCACGGAGGAAATGTGTATGTGTGACTGTCTGCCTGTGACTGTGTGTGACTGTCTGCCTGTAACTGAGTGTGTGACTGTCTGTCTGTAACTGAGTGTGTGACTGTCTGCCTGTAAATGTGTGTGTGGGGCTGCAGGAATTTTGTAGAAGGGGGCGGGGGTTTTGTATTGGGACAGGAGTCTTTATAAGGGTGGATAAGCAGGAGATTTGTGGAAGGGGGTTGCGGGGTTTTGTAGACGGGGCAGTACAGGATTTGTAGAAGGGGCAGGACAGAGGGTTTTGTAGGAGTTTCATTTGTTTTTGTTTTTTTGGGTGGGGGCCAAATGCTCTAGGTACGCCCCTGCCCCACCTCCTATAGTCTGTAAGCTCATTTGAGCAGGGTCCTCTTCAACCTATTGTTCCTGTAAGTTTTCTTGTAATTGTCCTATTTATTGTTACATCCCCCCCTCTCAAAATATTGTAAAGCGCTACGGAATCTGTTGGCGCTATATAAATGATAATAATAATAATAATAATAACTAAAATTACATTTACAATTCTAAACAGACTGTTGGAGTTTACTTTCAGTAACCTATACCTTTTCTACATAACACATTGATTGCTTCTCTTTGACAATGTTGTCAGTCAAGGTTGGGGCATAGGCAAACTATGATTTTGGTTCCTGGTCCACCCACACCAAACAAAAATGGCTGCTAAGGCCACGTCATCTTACCCAAGAGCCAAGGGCCAATTCATCATCTCCCATAGGGATCACAGATTCATTCTTATAGATCCATAATTCCAGGCAAACATATACAGTTAAATACTCAACTACACACACACAGTTACACACTTCCATACATACAGTTGCACTGTCCCACACACTCAGTTACACGCACACGCAATATAAACTCCTGTCTAACACCCGTAGCATTGAAACTCTCAGTCAAGGCTGCTTTCCTGTGCTGTATAAACCGGTCAACTCCATTACTGATGTTTTGGCCTACAACTGCAGAACACCAGAACTAATGAGGCTTACTTTATAACAGTAATAACCTACCATGACACCCTTTAAATTTGGGGGAATTCTGGCTGGCTGAGCATATTTCACAAACATCTGGTGTTGCCAGTGTGAGTAATTGCTAGGGATATGCATGGGAAAAATATTCGGTTTGTCATTCCAAAATTCGGAACTTTGACACTTCAGAACTTCAGGACTTTGGGTAAGTGTAATGTTCGGGTTAGGGTTGGTTTAGGGTTAGGGTTAGGGTAGGATTAGGGTACCTCAACTATTAGTCAGGGTTGGTTTAGGGTTAGAGATAGGGTATTGTTAAGGGTAGGGGTAGGGGTAGGGTTAGAGGTAGGGTTAGGAGTAGGGTTAGAGGTAGGGGTAGGGTTGGAGGTAGGGTTAAGGGTAAAGTTAGGGTAGGGTTAGAGGTAGGGTTAGGGTAGGGTTAGGGGTAGGGTAGGGTTAGTTTAGGAATTGGGGTAAGGGTAGGGTTAGGGGTAGGGTTAGGAGTAGGGTTAGGGATAGCGTTAGGGCTATAGTAGGGTTAGGGGTAGGGTTGAGTTAGGAGCAGGGGTAAGGTTAGGAGTAGGGGTAGGGTTAGGAGTAGGGTTACCCTACCCTAACCCTAACGCTACTCCAACCACTAACCCTAACCCTACCCCAACCCCTACCCCTACCTCAACTATTAACCCTACCCCAACCCTTAACCCAACCCCAACCACTAACCTTACCCTAACCCTACCTCAACCCTCTCCTGTTTTGCCACTTTTCAGAAATCCGAAGCACTTCGGCACTTTCGAAATTCGGAAATTCAGCACTTCGGCAATTCGGTACGGCATTCTGAAATTCGGCACTTCGGCAATTCGGTTTGGCATTCTGAAATTCAACACTTCGGACATTCAGAATGAAACGATTTGCACGTCTAGTAATTGCTGCTCTAGTCATTATCTAGATAATGCCATCTTGCAAATGAACCATTGACTGAATGAAGAATGTGTATGGTTCATTAATAAATTCTTTGTGGCCACTAGAAGATAAGATAATTTACCTTTTATCCTGTGCCTCCTTAGTTTCCCTCACAGCCAACTGGTGTGCCATTTCTTGTTGCACTATAGGGCAGTGTTCCGCAACGTCAAAAAGATTAAGTTCCTCTTTGCTATCATCATTGTGGACTTCAGTTGCAAAGACTTTCTCGGCTAAGGAGCGGATTTCCTCGTTGATTTCTGGAGACAAATTATATTTCCTGAGTTAGTTTGTCTACAGGTAGAGGGACTGAATATGGTTTATACACCCCATCAATCAATCCCACATTAAGCAAATAAATCTAAATGTTGATTTAATTGCAAAAAGAATGTACTCAACTTTTGCTCAGTTCATGGTTTTTTTTTGCAAACCATTCTTAATTTGGGCTGTAGTAAGCATCACTCGCAGTAAGCTTTACCTAGAACATCAGTTGCAGGTGCAACTGATGTTCTAGGTAAAGCGTGATGCGAGGGACATTCTGTTTGGACTGGAAGAATAGACGGAGTGAGCAAGGTGTTTCCATAATCCTGTCTGGATATGAAGTCTAACTATGCATGCCAAGTAGCAGTATGTTTTTCAGTGTGGACATGGAGTGAAAATGTGATTGCTTCCATCGATCTAATATACCTTCTGTGCTGCCATACCATTGTTGGACAGCCAAGTCTATCTTTCTTTACAGAAGAAAGGGATAAGGGGCTTAGCCGCTGTGAGTAAATGTTTCAAGAGAGAATTCTTATATTTGGAGAGGGGTAACGATGTGCTATGTAGTCATGTGGCAATCAGTGGGCAGGATCACCAAATGTGGAGGGTTTCATCAATCTCAAATTCATATCAAAAAAAGAGCGAAAACACAATAATCGGATAAGTCCCCTAAAGAAAAAGGGGAACTCCCAATTAGTCTGGTAATGATAGTATAAGAGAACGCCAAATGTTACAAAAGACTACCTATAAAGTGTCAGAAAAGGAGATAATAAAGTTGCAGTGTGTTACTGCTTTTGTCAGGATACTTTTTTACCAAGTGCCTCTTATATCAAATAGATGCTTTCCCTGTAGTTATTAACTATACTGTAGAGAGGATACAATGTAGCAGTGTCTCCAAAAAAGCTTATAACCCTCAGATCCTATGTGGATCAAACTAAGTGGCCAAATCTCAATTGAAGCATACTAAATGTGAAGAAAATGAGATATATCACACATAGGATGACCCACAAAGAAAACGAAATACATGTAGTTCCTTGAAATCTTGTTATGGATAAGTGTGCAGGGTAATGAGAGAGACAGTATAGCGTAAAATGAAAGACAATATCTCTATAAATGAGTAGCTTGTCAACTGTATAGAGAGAGATATGTATTAGGAATAGATAGCGATCTAGACAGTAATTGAGGTAATATAATTAGAAAAAATCCCCTCAGAAAGTAAACGCCACTGTTCTAATCCACTATCTCCTCATAACACCTTCATGGGTGTTCTAACTAAATACTGTCCTCTTAAACTAATTCCCCTACACTAACAAAGCTCCATAAAGAGTTAGCATTAACTTAAAGGACCACTATAGTGCCAGGAAAACATACTCGTTTTCCTGGCACTATAGTGCCCTGAGGGTGCCCCCACCCTCAGGGACCCCCTCCCGCCCGGCTCTGGAAGGGGGAAAGGGGTAAAAACTTACCTTTTTCCAGCGCTGGGCGGAGAGCTCTCCTCCTCCTCTCTCCGTTACGCCCGCCCGGCTGAATGCGCACGCAGCGGCAAAAGCTCGCGCGCATTCAGCGGTCACATAGGAAAGCATTTACAATGCTTTCCTATGGACGCTGCATGCTCTCACTGTGAAAATCACAGTGAGAAACGCAAGCGCCTCTAGTGGCTGTCAATGAGACAGCCACTAGAGGATTAGGGGGAAGGCTTAACCCATTCATAATTATAGCAGTTTCTCTGAAACTGCTATAATTATGACAAAATGGGTTAACCCTAGAAGGACCTGGCACCCAGACCACTTCATTAAGCTGAAGTGGTCTGGGTGCCTAGAGTGGTCCTTTAACGAAAGAAACAAAAGTGAAAATATATAGCGGATTCCCTCGTGCATAGTGAAGTGCTCAAGTGAGTGGAGGGAAATCCTGAAAGAAAAAACCCGACGCGTGTTTCAGAGTACAAGACTCCTTCGTCAGGGGCTGAAAAGATTTTTATCACCAAGATTTTTGAGTAAGTGAATTTGATGTTCTGTGGGAAATTGTATTTTAAATCAAGGAGTTAAAAGCTTGAGTTCTTGGTATTTAGAACATAAAGAGCTTTCATCGGACAGGATGTTTTATCCAACAATTTACTTTGAAGTGACTTTAGCAATTCATCCTCCCACCTAATTTTGTAAGATAATGAAGGAGCAGTCATCTGAATTATAGGCCTGAAATTCCATGGGTAACGCCTTCTCCCTCGTCACAGATCGCCTTGAAGAGAGTTAAGGATCAAATTATTTCCTGTTTGCCAGGGATTCAATAAATAAAATGTTTAATGTGTGCATACTGGAACCGGTCAAGCCACACATATGCACTATTTGAGATGGAATCTGTCAAATCACTTAGACCGGTCGTAGGTGGATATGATCTCCTGAGTTTTAATTTTTAAATGATCAAGAGACTATATTTAAAAAAAATTCAGAGTATGGTTAATATTCTTTTGTTTGGTTGATCTTCTCAACACTGATACATTCCAGGCTACTGGACTGCACAAGGAACAAAGTCTGAACTCCAGTAATTACAGCTGTTTGACTGGAATATTAATATATTCTTTATGTTTAATAAAACATTTTTAAAAATCCTGAAATATACTCAGTGTTAGAATGCAGACATAAAGTTTGATCTACAAAAGTTGCTGTAGAGTGTGGGTTAAGAGGAGAAGGTGCTGCGACATACAGTCCCTCTGTAGAGATGCATAGTAAGAAAGACATTGGTAGGAGTTAGAGCTTCTGTTAACATCAGCAATATTTTGGAAAGGCTACTGGTGCTCCAAAATAAAATGTCAATGTAAAGGAAAAACAATAAGTCATACATTTAGGACATCGACTTTGGATCACATTTGTTTATTTCTTACTATGGCCATAGGGTGGTCCCATCCTGAGAACATCATATAATAAATTGTTATATTTATACAATTTAATACACCACCACATCATTTAGTGTAAATAACTTAGGGCAACTATATATATCATTAAACATTTGATCTCAGGATTTCAAGAAATAAAATCAGACGTACATTAACAGAAATAAAATGTCATTAATAGAACTGGTAATCCATAGCAATGTAACTGATATTTTATCAGACTTGATCTGTGTTGGATCAGCACATGCATATTTTTAATCAACCTGCTGCTTGATCCTTTGATTTTTTTTTTTTTTTTTGTAAGTACCCAGAGAAATCCCAGCAGGGATATATTTAACAAGGTAATAAATCAGCCACACCTCTGACGTATTCAACACAGAGCATATACACTCAATAGCCAACAAGCTCCAATCCATGTTAACAACATGTTATGTGCTATCAAGATGGTGAGATATTACTGGAATCAAAAAGAAACAGATATCATGTAGATCATGTGTCACATATAAAGATGGAATATTTAGATTGTCTTCTCTACCAAAGCATAATAATAAGATATATGTCTTTTTCCCGGTATCAATACAGCGAGCCAGCATGATGATTAACCCCTTCAGTACCTGGCCTAAGCAAATTCCACTTTACTGACACAGACCTGACATGCCATTAAATGTGAAGTGGTAAAAAACAACATTCAATATATTAGAACAGTAATGCCTAAATAATCATACAAATAATATTATTATATAGTGCGTTTATCTTCAATGGGGTCCTAAACACTTAGCACTGCTTGGAAGCAGCATCTGATTAATAGATATTATTGATCATAATGATACACATTATATCAACCAAAATAAGGGAAGAATAATCAATATTCTGAATATATAAGCTGAATATAGAAACTGATCAAATTCTACAGTTGGTATATAACCCAACTGAGCTACCTACCTCACCAACATAATGAGAACCATGGACTACTAGAAATGGAGAAAAGATAAGCTGTGGGATAGCATACAAGTGGGTACAGATAAAGAGATAGACAGACAGACAGACGGACAGACAGATAGCAAGCTAGATAGACAGACAGATGGATAGGCAGAAAGACAGATACATAGATAGATAGCAAGCTAGATAGATAGACAGACAGAGAGACGGACAGGCAGACAGACAGATACATTGATAGATAGCAAGCTAGATAGATAGACAGACGGACGGACAGGCAGACAGACAGATACATAGATAGACAGACGGACAGGCAGACAGACAGATACATAGATAGATAGCAAGCTAGATAGATAGACAGACAGACGGACAGGCTGACAGACAGCTACATAGATAGATAGCAAGCTAGATAGATAGACAGACAGACAGATACATAGATAGATAGCAAGCCAGATAGACAGACAGACGGACAGGCAGACAGACAGATACATACATAGATAGATAGCTAGACAGACAGACAGACACATAGATAGATAGCAAGATAGATAGCTAGACGGACAGACAGACAGATATATAGCAAGCTGGATAGACAGACAGACGGATGGGCAGACAGACAGACAGATACATAGATAGATAGCTAGACAGACAGACAGACAGACAGACATATAGATAGATAGATAATTTTACAAACAAGACTTTGTATA